AGCTGCAATAATAAGGAGGGTACTCAGTAAAAGCATAAAAATTGGAACACACTGTGCATGTATCAAATATAGTCAAGATAACGGATTCCGTATCGTTTTTGTCAATAAGAATATTTAAAAATTCAATTCATAAATCTTCTGGATTCCTCCTGCGTCAGTTGTTGATGAAAAGAACTTGCTAACGTTTCGCCAATCATACTGTTGGCTTCTTCAGAGCTTACCTTATATATTGTTTGAGGGCGGAGCTAAAAGAGGGACATGAACGTTGTCTCGGATGACTGATTCCCATATTGGTGCAAGATCTGAGTCGCCGTTAAGATTGGTTGCTTATAGATTTCTAGAGATTCTCGATTTTTTTGTTGGTAGAAAGATTGATTACATTTAAGAATTTTAGGTTTATCGAATAAAATTTGTTGTCTGGTTTCGTGATGGTGTTCAGCAACTGCTGATGAGTTTATTTGTCGTAGTCTTAAGGCTGTTTTATGTCCTTTGATGATATGATATGTAGTCAATAATGTTTTACATGTAATGAAGGACAACAGTGGTTGTTTTCGGACTCACATTGTCTTTCAAAGGTTGCGTTGAGGTGTGTGTTGTGATGGAATGCTTCATATCTCTAATCATTAAGCATACAGGTTAAAGTATTGAACAATGGTAAAACATATGATTCTTGAACATGAGGCCAAATAATAAAAGGCTTCCATTAATATATTCGCGATGACTGGTGGTAATGAAGAATCCATAGCTGTTCCCTACATTTGTTCAAAAATGTGACCGTTATATGAAGTTCCTTTCAAAAATTTAAAAGTTGCATTGCAAATTTTCTTCTCCCGTCATAAATTTTGAGTTTAAGCGTCCCTTAGACAGCATTGTGTTCAAGAAAAACAGCAACTACGAATATTTGTGGAGGACATAATTTATCAGTTTTACCCGTTACTTTCGAAAAAACGTGAATAACTTCCCAACGGTTTGAGTGAGGGAGCTGAAGTTTCGCTCCTTTTAAACTGGCCACGAGACACATAAGCCCATAGAAAATGGCTGCGATTGGAATCGGCATCTGTCTTTTTTTGCGATTTTCGTCTATTTTTCGTACATCGCTATGAAACACGATAGGTGTCCGAGATTTGCAGTTATCGATTTCAAAATTGGCACAAATATAGAGTTTGATCCCCTAGCGGAACATATACCTGGGGGGTCGGGAGGTATTTTTAAAAATTTAAAAACCGTATTTATAGGGTATCGAGAAAAAATCATTTCTCAAAAACGGTGTACGAGATCGAAAAATAATTGTAATGCGCTTCAGAAGTCAATTTGTTTTACACCAAAATATAGCTCCTGTAGACTTTTGCGTTTCAGCAGATTTAGCAGAGAAGCAGAAGTCCAGACCCACATTTAAACCATTAAAGTTGGGTGCGATCAAGTACCGCAAAGTATTTTTTTTAACTTTGGAATTTTTTTACATCGATTTTGCGAAAGTTCCATAGTGGTCCACAGGAGCACGATAGAAAAATAATGTCTCGGTTTCTTTTCAAAATACAAAGCTGCTACGCGCTTCGAACTTAGTCTGCCCAGCGTCGATTTTTCGAAAGCAATCTTATTATTATATTCGTCGGTTCTTCTCACGCCACTATCAACGTGCATAACATAAATCTTTGCACGTTATTTCGTTCAGTATCACTTGGAAATCTCCTAAACACGACGAACCCGCGAACTCCAAACGACGAGAGTTTCATTTGGATCTCACCGCGAACAAACAAAAGGACTCGTACGCTTTTTCCAATGGCAAAAACAGCAAAACAAAGCGTACGGAAATCAAACTGTCGCCGGGCAATGACACCCTGAAGATCATCACGGAGAGAAAACGTTCCAAGTCGAGGACGCGCAGTCCCATGCAGGGCTACAAAAAAAGTTTACACGGTAGTGAGAGAAAGCAAAATATGGAATATTTTTTAATTTGATTTATCAAGGTCGGAAAAGTTCGCCGTACAGGGAAAAGTCGCCGTATCCGGGAGAAGCGGGATACAAAGCAACTTCGGACGAGTCGAGTACGGGAAAAGAATATGCGCTCAATCAAACGTCGCCGAGACGGGCAAAAAAAGTAAAAGAAAACAGCCGAAGAAAATCTCTTCCAAGATCGCCAACCAGCCAGAAAAATCACAAGAGGAACGAATCTGACGAATCGAAACCGTCTAGTCTACCCGGAAGCCTGTCTCGTAGAAAGTCCGGAAAGGGACAGAGCAAAGTTTTGCAGGCGGACATTATTCAAGATAAACTCAGGTAACGTCCGTTTCAGAAATATTCCTTGGTTTCTCGATTGCAGTAAAGTGCCTAATTCAAACAATACAAGAATAGAACTTTAGAATGAAAATTACATTTATCTTAAACAGGTTGTTCCAAAAATGCAAAAGAATAAAAAAATTAATTAGTTCACATTTCAATAAGATTTATGCTACCTAAACCTAAAGTATTCTTTATTAATTATTATTAATATTAATAATGTAAGAGTAAGCGATGCAAGCAAAATGTAGCAATAGTTCCCGTTTTAAATTCCATTTACATTTCTGGACAACTTCCCACTAGATTAGTTTTGGTTAGTTTGTGGTCAGAATGTTCCAAAATTTATTATAACATAGCAAGTATTGTACTTTTTAATTACTGATTGAATTGACAAGCTCAAAAATAGAATTTTAGAATGATATTTGCGCTATACAGGTCCAAAAAAATTACATTCATATTATACAAGTTGCCTCCAGAGAGCCAAAAGTAGGACCCCTGTTTGCATTCTGCAGTCAAAATTAGTATTCGTTTCAATAAAGTTAATGACATCTTAAGTTCAAGGATTCTTAATTGATTCGATTTTTTTCAAAATATAACCTAGTTTTAATTGGTCCCACACTTGAAAAATATTTAAGAAATGTAACTGAAATTTACTGCAACTATGAAAAACTTCTATTATTAGGATATTCTACAGCTAACTCTTTAGGCAGAATATAGAAGGTGTTTACTAATTGAATGGCAATAATTAGGGTAAACGATTTTTGGGAATTTCATATATTTGTGGTATTGATGGTATGCCACTGATTTCTTTTAAAATAAAAATTATTCTTACTATCTCCAATCATTTATAAAGAAATTTAATTTCTTGATTTATCAATCCGATATACGGTTTTTGCTTATAAAAATAAAAACTTCTTCTCTGCTTGGTGATAACAATATGGCAGCATGCAGAGAAATTAGTTTTTATTTTTAAGTGAAACCCAAATTCAAATGTCAATATTTTTCTAAAGAAATCACTGGCGTGACACTGACTGCCTATCAACAAATAATGTTTTGGTTAATTAGGTCGCCACTGCCATCCAGAACTTTTTTTGTGAAAATAAAATAACTAACTATCTAAAACAAAGTATCTAAGCCTTTCAGAAAAAAAAAATAGGAGACTGTTCTGTTTACTTTTACAATTTTAATGAAATGACATAACATACCAACAACACGATAAATAATAAACGAATCTTATTTAAATTTATTTTATTTATTTAAGTTTACGTACTTCGTATTCGTACTTCGATTTTTTGAAGTGTTTTAATGGATAGACAATTACTTAACTAAGAAATAATAATGATGATAATTGTCTCCATGTTCTCATATTAACGATATTGTTATGACCATGCAAAGAAAAGGTTTTTAGATTGAAATTCCTTTAGAAAACATCCTGCATATTTCATAATTTAAAAATTATGACATTTCGAAGAAAAATTAAATGGTAAAATTGAATACTTTACTTGTAGTGCTTTTGGTTATACAATTTTGCATATTATTGCATCGAACTATGGACCATATCAGGCATAAATTAATATCAGTAGCTCACGCCAAATCTCCCGCTCAGTATTTTCATTTCAAATTTGTTCACCTCCAAAACTATATTATAATTTTTTAATATCGTACGGCTACTACGAATGGATTGTAGGAAATACCATCTTTATTTACCTAAAATTTTATGGCTAAAATTGGAAAATTTTGTAACTTTCGTCAAATTAAAGTCAAAATGTCGGTTTTTGGCTAGAAATAATTTTACATTTCACTGCGTTGTATACTCTCCATTAATAAAAATTGATTCAGCTAACGCATGCATGTAGGGACTAACTTTACGTAATTCCAGTTCGACTTCGATAAAACGTAGCCCACAGAAAAGTCCTCCGGATACTTCGAAACTGAAGGCGCTGAGCGCGGAGTCCCTTAGGTCAGTCAGTCCCGGTAGCGACAGTGTTTTCTATAGCGATCCTAGCAGTCATACTGCCGAACATCAGATCCATTGTCTTCACTGTGGAAAAGAGGTACTCCTCTCGGTATATTTTTATTTCTTTTACCTTAAAGGAATCCTATCCAATAATAGATCATCAAGTCCATTAGAATTATCTGACAAACGGATCAATTTATTTCAAATTATGCCAGCGCTGTATGGCGATATCCTGGTTCTGACCGTAATCATTTTAATTTTAGATTCCAAGCACTGGGCAGCAATAAAAATGAAATAAATATTTTGCATAATTTATAAGCTGTTCGGGCCTTTATATGTGGCTCCGTTCTTTTAATTCAACAGAATACTAAATATTTTACTTTGCATTATATTTTCGTTGAGATGCCCTATCGATATTTTTAAAGCTTTAAATTCAAATTGAGGAAAAATTCAGCGACGTTTCCCTATTTAAAAATAAGACAAAATATTGAATTTTTTTTAGGTCATTGCCGTTGGAATCTTTTGAACATTTATTAAAGTATAAAACTAAATTCCTTGACATGATCCATTTGTGGTTTTTTTTTTCTGTTTAATAACATCTTTCATCGTTTCCGAGATTCCAATGGTGAGAGTCAAATTTGAAAAATCCATATAATATTTTACAATCCTTCGACTCCCAGGTGGACATCGTCACTACAGACGACCCGGACAAAAGCATCAGCAGCAACGGCGTTCAACACGAAATCGTACAACCGCCCGCAGGGTTTGAAGACTCCCCAAAGGCGAAGCCCCAGGGAAGGCTATACAAAAAGCTGGATAGAAGGCTAAAGTCGGAGGACAGATCTCAAATGGAGCACCGCAGGCACCGATACAGGCCCGACGGGATAAGAGCGAAGGTAATGATAAATAGTTCTTTCGGATTTTTTCGTAACGTATCGATTGATTCAAAATTTGGAGTCGGAAACATTGCATTTGTCAGATGTCGTAATATAACCTTTACACCGGAAACTAGATTCAACTAACAACAGAAATTCAGTGGGTGGGACGGGATGCAGATAGTATTTCGAAAACTTAACATTTTCGGCAATATACTGAGTATCCACAATGCGATTTGAGAAGCTATAAAAGATGCAGCATGGTTTAAATTAGAAGAAGGTATTGTCTGTTGGGAGGCCTTGAGAACACATATCTAAATAATTGAAGTTAGCGTGATCTTTTCAGTTTTCAACTCTGCTTTATTGCAGCAATATAACAAAAATTTGTCGTCTAGGAGACAAAATTTTTGAATCTATTCATGTTGCTATAGTTTTGGTTAGTTTCATTCTCGCACACTTAATTCCTGCATGCACATATTGAATGTTCCTTGAAATCTGTTTTGATATTGGCTTCAGAGTTGCCCGTGTTATCAGCATGTGAAAGGCTTCTATATCTAGCAGCTATATGAATTTCCCAGATGATCTAACCAAGATATCAGCATCGCTTACTATGAGAATAACAGTGTATGCAAACACATAATTGATAGAAGAGAATGGTTTAACATGAGAATCTGAAATGAACGAATGCGGTTCTAAAAAAATTTCCGGTAACTTCAAGAATCATTGTTGCATTGGAAAAATCCATAAAACATCGCTATGTACAAATATCTTGTCTCCCTCTTATCTTATTTTCGAGATTAGATTTGGTCTCGTGATTTGCAAGTACCACAGCGTATCAATTGCAGAGTGGATTTATATTCAAAGTTATTCAGATAAACTAAATTGAGGGCAAATATTCGTTTAGTACTCGCAATTAAAACGTTTTATATGCAAACCAATATTTAGTGACATAAATCTAATTTAAAAAATATGATCGTTTAGCATTGAACTGATATCCTTTCGTTTCGCACATCAAAAATCATTGCAGATGATTACTTCAAACGAAAATACGACGGAAACGATTGTTCCTAGCGACTTCTAATAAGAAAATCTAATACAAGGTCGTACAAAAAGTCCCTTGAAATTAAAATAAGATGTGTAGGTAGGTAATCTTACAAGTAAGAGCGATATAATTAAAAAAAAAACGTCAAAAAACAATTTTCCTTAAGAACCGGTATTATTTATGAAATTAGACAGAAAAAAAAATTAAATTCAAACCTTGACACCCTTTAGTTTGAAAACGAAAGCGAGTCATTTTCAACCACTCTTGTAACTTTTTATCTTAAAAATACTTGAAAAATCATGCTATGAAATATTGAATACTTATTAAATCACCCCGTATTGAGCACTCTATAGGTTCAAATTATCTCCACTTATATCTGTCTCAACTGCTTCCGGCTATATGAACAATGTCCTGCGCACCTCATACATTATTATAACCACTTAGTTTAACTCATATCCACTTACAGGTAACCCTCGGAACGGTTTTCGTTTACCTCTGAGCGGAAAGAATATCCCGCAATTCTCGATCGTTATGGGACAAACTCATATTTCCACAAAAAGGTTTCCATCCATGTACTTATATAATTCCTTACTCTGTAAATAAAATCTCTGTGTCTTACTTCGTGAGCTTAGCCTTCATAGGGGTTTAACTTATAACGTAAGTTTTTAAATATTTTATTTAATCTTACGCCTTAAGACTGACAAGTAAAGGTTTCAACAGATGAAGAAGACAATCATGAAATCGAAAATCAAGTCTTATTCGATCAAACTAAAATGCTTTCATGTAATCCATACTTCTACCAAAGAAAAGTTCGAGAATCTATAGAAATATCTAGACACACAAACGGTCTTAAATGCAACCAAGGTCCTTTATCTTTCACCAATATATATCTATTAGTCAATGTTTATTTGCCTCCTTTAGATCCGCCGGTACAAAGGTTCAAACAGTTAATCCTGTTAGATTCTTCAAAGCTTAACAGGAACTGGCTCGCATTCTACTCTGTATCTGCTTACATATTGTTTCAGGAGGGCGGAGCTAAAGCAGTGGCATGATAGATAGATATTGGTGAAAGGTAAAGACCTGAATCGCGATTAAGATTTCTATTCCATTGGTTATAGATTTCTATAGATTCTCTATGCACGCTAACAAACATTTTATCAATGGAAAATTAGACCTAACATTGGGTTATTGATACCTTAATGCATTGTCACATCACCGTCCGGCCCAAAAATCATCGGTTATCAACTCCCTTGTTTGAAGAGCCGTAAAACTATCTCAGCCTGAGGCACTGGACCCAGAATTAAAACACCTTACCTCTCTAATAATTTCCACATTAGAGATATTAAGCGTCCCTTTACAAAATACACTTCACCACACTTGCCACTGTTGTCCGCCCTTACATTCCAAGCATCACTGACCAAGCATCAAAAGTTCTTAAGAAATATAACATCAAAACCAGATTTACCAAAAGTCTCTCACCATCTCCGTCAAAGACGAAATTCCCTTTGAGATACCAAGAGTTTACCAAGCATATGCTGCAAAGAATATCTGGGAGACACCGGACGAAAAACATCAACTATGCTCAAAGAACATTGAAGAGCCTTAAGACTAAGACCAATAGACTCATCAACAATTGCCGAACCAGGCATCAAATTTTATTCGATAAAACTAAAATTCTCGCATTTAATCAATTCTTCTACCCTCGAAAAATCCGAGAAACCATAGAAATCTGTAAGCAACCAAACAACCTTAACCGCGACTCAGATCTTCCACGCAGGAGGAATCCAAAAGTTTTGTAAATAGCAACCCAGTTTCAGTTAACCTTTGAAGAAGCCAGCAGCATGGAGGATAATGTTTTAAGTTGCTCCGGAATTTTATACAGGATATAAACTCATGACAAATACGAGAGATGTTCGGCCTGTACTATTTTATGGAACCCTGTAGCAGAGTGTTCCTTCCTTTCTTCCTTTTGTTTGACATAGAAAGCCATTTGTTAGAGGTCAATTTGCGAGATACGGGCTGACGACAACGGGTACAATAGATAAATCTTAAACAAGTTTTTGGACAAGCCGAATCCGAGTCAACCTTATCGATGCAGGAACCGTAGACTACGTCAGGAAAATTGAAACTACCAAACACGAGAAAATCTATTAGCAACATTTTTTCAAAATGTCTGTGGAAAAATCGTTTTTTAGCGTTCACAGGCACGTTGAATCCGTTGGTTAACCTAAGTTAAGTTAAATCAAAAAATAAACCCAATGGAATATTGTTACCCTAAATTTCTATCTTCATTCAGGATGGATTTCCCAAAATTTATATAAGTCGATTTAGATGAATTAATTAATAGGTTATGTTTTTTGCGAAAATTAAAGCAATTCGTTTTAAAAGAAATGTGTAATTTTGTGTCGTCCGAATTTGGCAGTAACCCATAAAATTGTTGTCTCAGAATAGGAAGTGGGAAACGCTAAATATGTGCCTTTGCAAGGTCAAAGCACCCTTGCCCTCCATATCCACCACCACAAACTGAAGTTCATCGTTGAGATAGTTACTCATGAACGTATCATCTAACCTTATATACTGCGGAATTGACAAAAGCAGCTCATTATCCACCGATTGATCCACACTATCAAAATCTTTACTAAAGTCAATAAGAACCAAAATCGGCTCTATACAAAAAAGCAGTTCTACCACTAAGATCCTCTGTGGATCCTAACTGGAATTGAATAGATTTTTTTCCATCACCATCCATCGGATCTCAATGTTGTACAGTGAACTCCGGTTATAAAGTACCCTCCAGGGGCCAGAAAATGAGTACTCTATAAGCGGAAGTACGCTATAAAGAAAACACAAAAAAATTAGGTAGGTACGCATATAGTTTTATTTTATTTAAAGATAAAAAACTAGTAAACACTAATATAGGTACTGAAAAACAAAAGAAACAACTTATCTATCTATATAAACTTTACATTCTACAAGTAAAAACAGATACTTTATTCTCTTTCAGTAAAAAATTCGTTATTTTTGTTTGTTTATTTTTTTTCAATAAAAATTTCAAATTCTCCATGTGCTTCTCAACCGTCCAGGATGCTTGCATAAAATCAGTTACATTATCAGTAGATTGTAAAAATTTTGTTACAATTTTAGGGACACAAAGCGCTTCAGCGCTTCGTCCTGTTGACCATCATCTTCGTTTTCGTTACCAGAGCTTTGAAGATCATTTGGCTGTAAAACTTCAGTAATAATCTCATTATCCGTTAATAACTCTGTTGCTATTAAATTATCATCTTATCAGACCTGCATGTCGAAAGAAGTTTAAAACAGTGGTTAACGTAACATCATTCCAACATTATGCAAGTAATTTTATTTTCAAATAACTGGATCAAACGATACAAAAAATATCTGCAGTAATATGTCTTAAGGCATTTTATTATGCCCTAATCCATTGGCTGGAGCACTGAGGTGCTATTTGGAGGCAAAAACTCCAATATTTGATATTTGAAAGGACTGGATTTTTTGGATGAGCTGCACAATTGTCAACCAGAAGCAACATTTTTCTATTCTGGCGTTTCAGTTTTTCATCCCAATCCTTTAAATTATTATAAAAAATTGCAGTCATCCACGCTCGCTGGTTTGATTTATAAATAACAGGTAGATTTTTCACATTTTTCATTCATCTCGGTTTGCATTTTTCGCTTCCTGTCATATTTGCACCTCAACTTCGACTGCTTCCCACGCAAACGCTTTTCTCCTCTAAATTTAAGGGTACGATCTAGAGTCATCTTGTAAAATAGCCCCAGTCTCGTCACCATTGAAAATATCCTCAGAGCTATAATTTTGTGCAATACTGGGCCACTTATCCTCTAACCAGTTCAGAACAGCTTGTTTGTTAACATCTCCTGCTTCACCAGAATTTTTTCCGACGTTTATGTTGTGAACAACTCTAAAACGTTCGAGCCAACTTGTAGAACAACTAAAATCCTCACCTTATAATCCCCTTGCTAATTCTTCGGCTTTCGATTTCAGAAATGTACCACTTATTGGACTATTTTCGTTCGAATCTTCGAACTTGAAACCATCGTAAAAGAGCTTTATCTACATCTGAACGCACAGGATTTCTTTTTTTTTTTTAATCCTGTGCGATTTACAGTCACTTGCATTCTTGACATTTTCGCGATTACTCCATATTGTTGTTTTTGCCAATTTCTTTTGTCTATCAATTTCCGCCTGAAAAATCCTCAATTTTTTCGGGGAACCACCGCTCGATAATCCGGTTTTAGCGTACACTCGTACTTTATAACCAGAACAATAGTGAGAATATTGTACTTTATAACCTAAGTAGAAGTTATATACGGTACGTAATATACGATGAAAAATCAAGAGCATTTTGACCTGACCAGTAAAATATGTACGTAATACTCGGAAGTACGTTATACCCCATGTACGTTATAAAAGGAGTTTACTGTATACTACTGTTCGACAAATTCCTTAACTGATGTTCTCGCTAGTCAGAAGAACGCGGCGCCGCCAAGAGTTATCGCAACAAACAGTTGCGCCCGATGGCTCGTTCGACGACCGGTAGCAGCGAGCAGCTCAAAACCGTCGACAGCAGTCCCAGCGTCCTGCCAGGTAACCCCGACGACGACGAAAACGACGACTACGGCATCTACGACGCCCCGTACACGGACCGCAACTGGATCTACGTCGACGAAAGGGAAGAAGTCGTCACCACAAACGCACACCTCTCGCCAACAGGTACGCCACACACATGATATAAAGAAACACAATGCTATGATCGATAGCATACTAGATTAAGTCCATTCTGCGCAATGACGGTGAGTTATAATGCGTAAATGATATAAAAATAAATTCCTTAAGCTTGGTAATTTGCTCGTTTTTTCTTTCTGCGCCGAATGGACTTAATCTAGTATGCTATCGATACTAGATGAAGTCCATTCTGCGCAATGACGGTCAGTTATCCTGCGTAAATGATATAAAAATAAATTCCTTAAGCTTGGTAATTTGCTCGTTTTTTCTTTCTTTCTCGATTAATTTCCACATATGTAAGTTTTAGTGTTTGATCGACTATTCTCGAATGTTCGAGTTTTACAATGTACAGGGTGTTTTGTTATATTTTCAACGGGATTTACAGTTTATAGGACAATTTTATTGTGTTTATGTTCAAAAGAGTAGGAAAATTAGATAACTAAAGATATCGAGTAAATACGTACAATAATTTTTTGTTGGCTGTCTGATTTTCTAATTTTTTTATTAAGATTTTTTAAAAATCACTTAATTTTAATGCTAACGATTTGGTTAACTATCTCTTACATGCATTCTCCCAAATTTTCAACATTTTTTGGGTAGTTTTGATGGTTTCAAAAAACTCCTTTGATAGTCGCTGTTACGCGACTTATTGTACAACTCATCTTTGATCAACGAAAAAAGTATCTTTTCCTTACAAAAATAAGACAATAATCTTACGCGACACTATTGGTTCACTAATCTAGAGACTGCTAGAAGCCACAAATGCATCACTACAACACCACTATAACTTAAACATAACTTAAAAAAACACCAAATATAAGTTCATCTGGTACAATCTGTAGGTCACATGTTTAATCTTCAACCTTCGCAGAAGAACAAGAAATTAGTTGAAATCAGTGTTGGTGTTTATATTGGATAAACAAAAATATTCGTTTAATTTCAGATCAAGAATCCAGCAGACGAGAATCAGTCTCGAGCACAGAATCCGAACAAGACTTTCGCAAAAGATATCAAGCCGTCACGCATCGAATGGTGCATCGAAAATCTTGTTTAGAAATGTACAAACGACAAATCTTAAAGTCTTTTGGTGAGTATTGCCCTAACAGGGTAGACGTTAAGCTTCCCAAACTGTTTACCTACCCATTTAGTAGAAATGAAACTGTAATTTAGATGCAGAATGAATCGATTAAGCACACAAATCCAGAAAATTAAACTTTTTGACAGTTTTTTTTTTCAAATTTTTAACTAGGATTCCACTTTTTTACTAAATATCATTTGGATAGGATGATTTCAAAAATTCTATGCATTTATTTGTATCGCGTAAGGTTTCTTTTTGCAAATATTAGAGGGAAAAAACTATGTTTAAAAAAATGTATTTTTTTATTCAGTAAAAAAGTGGAATCCTAATTAAAAAATTGAAAAAAAAACTTTGATCAGACTTGTGGAGTGAAATCTTCAACTTTTTGCCAGAAAGCTGCATTGTCCCGGGCATTCGGCTCTGTTTTTTTAAAGGCATATCCTGTTTTAACATCCAGAGTAGTCCGCCATCATCGTAATGCTCCATCTGACTTGGTATCGCCGTTCCATTTGCTTAGTGTCCTGGTGAAACCTCTCTTCCTGTTCGTCGCTAACTGTTCCTAGATTTTCAGGAAAATTGTTCAAATGTGAAAACAAGTACTGCACTTTCTAACTCATATTACAACCTAGACGATGAAAGTGTATTTTGAACAATAGTTTCGTAGTTTTCGTCCTTAAAGTTCCCAAGAAACTTATCAATTACTTCTTTAAACTAAACCCAGGCGCTTTTCTCGACATTGGTCATTGCGTTTTGAAAATCCTTGTCTTTGCATAATGTTCTTATCTGTGGGCTAAAAAAAATACCTTCTTTTATGGAAAGTTCTCGCACAAATATTTAAAACACTGTCCATTTTTGTCTAGCACTTTAACAAACTGCTTCATCAAGCCTAGTAAACCTTTTTGGGTCAACCAGCTATATCTTAATACATTTTTGCTACCAGGTGTAATGCTTGTTCTAGAGGGCCATTCTATTTGAGTCCAATGTCTATCTCTTGCCCGACTATCCCACTCACAAATAAATTTTGTACAACCCCCCTGTTAAGGTCACCACAAAACATCCACTGATGTTCTTGGTAGTTTATTTTTTTTAAAAAAAATCAAACATTTTCATACCTTTCTTTTAAATGTACCGAATGTGCAATGGTAACCGAGGCCAGTTCGTTATCATACTTGAGGCAATAAACATGCGCCATTATACTTTTTGGAACTAAGCCAGGAATATTGTTGGAATACACTAGCGGTCCTTACTGGCCCTATTTTGCGATCCCGGTAAAAGCTTAGCGCCACGAAGTCTGAACACTAACAATTGGGATGCATCCCTTGGAAGGTCAAAATCTCTAATTGAATCAATTAATTCTCTCTTCTTAAATACTTTGTGCTCTATGAAATCTGGAGTGAAAGCTGAGTCATCTGATTCTGACGATATGACGTTTTCTAGTTCTTTTGGGTCGGTAGGTATCGATACATCTGGTTCATGAGGAACTGGTCGCCTAGAAGAGTCAAGATTGGGATACACAATTTATTTCTTATTTTTCCTTTTGAACATTACACGAACAAAAATAACAGTCATCACTGGAATTCCTAAGCTCCCACCATACCCTAGCAACGCCAACGCTAAAATATTTCTTTCTACCTTTTTACAGTTTCTTAATGTTTCAACGCAAACGGAACAAATAGTATGAGGAACTTGTCTTGGTCGCCAAGTTTTACACCAAAAGAAGCGTGGTCCACATTTTTTATAAAAAAAGTTATAGTTTGCCTTTGCTTTACTATGACATAAGTGTTTATACGTTCTCGAACACTAAATATACGCAACAACGAAAACAACAGCCGCGAACACAGCAGCACCACAACCAATACGACAACCAAACTACCCATAAGCAGGTTAAAATGACGCTTCTTCGCCAACTCTGTTGGTTTATTCAGTGTTGCCAAATTACGTAAAAGTAAATTCACTTAAAAATCATGATATGTATATTAATAAAATAACATTTTTAAGATATAGGGCGCTATAAAAAAAATTGACGCGAGCAATAATATGGCGTTTTTTGGAAAAAGGACCCCCAAAAATATACAAACATCAAAATCACTGCATACCCGCGTAATTCTTTAAGGTTAAGCGAAAAACTACCATACCAATTTTGTATACATATTATAAAAATCAAAATATACAAACTAACGTATTATAACAAACAGAAAAGTGAATAATGAAGGGACAAATAATATATTAATAAAGGGATTGCCCATCTGCTGAGCATGAATGAAAATAAACACGTGGGAATCGAATTGAAATTCAATAAATATTACAATTCCCAGGCAGATAAAATAAACAAAAATCTATTTTATTGTTACATATTGTTAAGGGCATTTCTGACCAATTTAAATTTAAACCATTGTCACGAGTACAGCGTAAACTTTGATGTCTTTTGCAACTTTTTAAAGGCCGTTTAAAAATAACAATCTCATGATTGACTCCAAATTGCATTGGAATAACATCAGCAGACGAAAAAAATTTCAAGAACATGACACGAGATCGAATTGTAGACGCGATCTATTTTTAGAGAGAAGAATGTTTGCGAGACATAAGCGTCCAATACGTCATAAAACTCGCCAAACTAATTTTTAAAAAATTGATTATTAACACATGTACACCCGGTCAAGATGACAATTATTTGTATATATTATACCGACCTACCTGTTCCCCTGCAAAGTTGCACCACCAAACAAGAATCAAGAAACATCTCTGATAAATGAGATGTTGCAATGAAATATTTAAATTTCGTTGAATATTCAACAAAAATTTAATTTAATTTTCAGGTTTTTCACCAGGTAATTCTAATCCACAGAGCAACAATTTATTAGATACAAAAAAGGCTCATTTTCTGATTTTTTATCCACACATAAACTACAATATACATTCTATATAGATGGTTGATTGAATAGATTTTTAGACATCAGATAAATCTTCTGCAATCGATACACCCACAATTTAGTATACTTCCAGAGCGCCGAGCAGTGATATTCACTGTAATACGCAGGAGTTATATACCAGCACACTCCAGTTGAACTCTAAATGATTCTAAAACCACCGAAATATACCAAATGTTGAGTGTTGTCCGTTTCATTAGGATATACTAAAGATTTTAAATATGACTGCCGCATTTATGTGTTAAAATATAATGTTGTTGTTCTTTGCGTAACTATTGCGGCATGTCTCTTTATCAAGAATTGACAAGACTGGAGGAATGGTTGCCTGAAAACCTAAACCGGAAACACATATGTTGCAATTCCCACTTAGATATGTGCAACAAGTTGCCAAGTGGAATGCGTTTAAAGATGGTAGTCGTTCATGTGGATACTCATAGGCCAAAGGTCATTGAAAATGAGGTTAAAGAACATCATGACGTAAAAATTTGATGTGATGACTTGGGAATGGGATTTAATTGCCTTTCAACGCCTTCTGCACACCCACCTACTGAAAAAGAACTAAACTACTTTTTACAAAACTTCTGGATTCCTCCTGCGTCGGTTTTTGCTGAGTCGGAATTGCTGACGTTTTGCCAATCATCCTGTTGGCTTCTTTAGAGCTTGACTGAAACTGGCTCATATTTTACTATGTACCTGCTTATATATTGTTTGATTGCATGCAAGAATTTCAGTTCTTCCACCAACGAAAAATCCGAGAGTCTATAGAAATCTATAAACAACCTAACAATCTTAACCGCGACTCGGGTCTCTACCTGTCACCAATTTGGGAATCAGTCATCCGAGACGGAGTTTATGTCCCTCATTAGCGCCCCCCTCAAACACTATATAAGCATGTACAGAGTAAAATGCGAGCCAGTTTCAGTCAAGCTCTGAAGAAGCCAACAGTGTGATTGGCGAAACGTCACCAATTTCGACTCACCAAAAACCGACGCAGGAGGAATCCAGAAGTTTTGTAAAAAGTATTACAGCAGCCTGTCGAAGTTTCTTAGAAAAATTAAGAACTAAACTGCTTTAGTAACTAATTATTGGCTTATTAATGGAGACGTTCCATACACGGGCCTTGATGGAAAGCGTCTACAAGACTTGTGTTATTATCAAATTAACATTAGTGATTTAGACAAGGAGTCCATCAATAACCTTTATAAAAATTTTAAGCGTCATTAATTTGATAACTCAGAAGAGTTCGAAATTTTCAGTTTTTGTCAGTTTAAGATTGTTCAGATTATAGTTTTCCCGCTGGTTCAGAAATTATATTTAAATAACTATTTGGTTTTAGAAATTTAAAGTACCTGGTTTACCAGTCACACGATCAAATGAAGGAACATATTTTTCGAATTAATTTGAAAAAATAACAATGTAGCTACATGTACATCACTCAACGACCGGTGCGTTTATCTGGAATTGCCTCTCCCTCCCTGAATCCGACGCAGGCGACGGCTTTAACGATATTAATTAAAAGGTGTGAGGCGGGCGCCGCTGGTGTGGAACGAGGCGTCGCCGTCGGGCGTCGGGAGTGCCGAAATAGCTGAAATTTCAAACGGAAAGAACTCGCAGGTTTCACCGGGACATTTCACGGTGTTTTAATATTATTTTCGGTCGAGGTTTGTGTATTTCTCGGGAGTGGAAAAGTGCTTCTCACGAACGGATTTTCTTGTTATGGCTCTGGGTACGTTTTAAGTGGCCTTTTGTAACTTTTTAGTATTTTAGTATTACTAATAAACATGCTAAAACAATTGATTTTATTAGTTTTTTAACGATAAATTTGTACATATTCTAAATATTTTTTTCCTTCTGAACTTTTTCGATATAATACTTTCTCGAGTGATAATTGAACAAAAAAGGTACCTATTAGCGTAAGTAAATAAGTTTTACCCATTAATAGTCATCGCTGTCGGTTCATGTACATTTATACAATCGACCTTTAAACGACGCTTTGTTTTTTTGATTGGAATGATCCAATTTAATTTGGATTTTACATAAATTCTTCAAATAATCTGCCATGTGTATAACAAATTTAGGAAA